GGTTGTCTCCTTCTTGATGACACGAGCAACCCAAAAGGTGCACCCTTCTTGCACGTGGTCGTCCGGAGCGCGCAGAACAACGAAATCATCAAGCTCAACAWSTTTGTAAGGGTCGAATTCCGGTTTGGGTGCATCCTTCCTATGACCCACAAAACACGGTTTCCGAAACGGTTGTGGCAGGATGCACGGGACCGAATGCTCGGAACTTGGATCGCTTGGCATGGGCTTTGGCCAAAAAGAGTATGACAACGGCACTGTTCCGGTCTCTTCCACCTCAATGTTGTCGAACTCGGTCAAACGCTCCGTCCAATATCTCAGCCTGCTAGTTTTGAGTTGTCGCTCCTCTATTGTTTGTGTTTTTCATTCGTTCATTGCGTCCTTCCACGTTTTAACTAAAACGCGCAAACCCGCTTTGCCATTTGTAAAGTCGCCGGAAGCGGGGGTGGGCGACTCGCGGCGCGGCTCGAACCCCCATTCGGGGCCTGCCCATTTCTTGTCTGCACTCCGTTTGAACCAGTATACCGGTCCCTTCTCAGGTCCCCAGTTCTTGTCGGTGTAGTGCGCTTTGTAGAGTATAGCCGGGTTATCATCCTCCATGTAGAAACGGAAAGGTGGGGTGTGGCATGGCCTTAAATCAAGTTGTCAAGGTACTGCGAGATCGCGGTTTTCCAGTCCACCATTTCCGTTAGTTGGGTGCACTCCACTTGCTCCTCACATGACTGTTGCAACACCGCAAACAGTTCTTCCATTGTGTACGCGTCGGAGCCGTTCAGTTTGCGAGCAAACAAACTAAACTTCGCGTCGATGTCGGTGTGGGTATGACCAACTATCATGAATCCCATAAGAATCTCCTTGAAAATCCTAAACTTCACCAACAATGCAAGAAATGCGAAGACGAATCTGTTTTTGTTCTGTCCGCCGCAGTTATCAACTTGGACGCGAAGCAACGGCGGGAGTTTGCCTTCTCGCGCTTGCACGTCCCTCAAAACTTTGGCAATGGACGTAACTACTGAATTCGACCCGTGAGAAAGATAAGGAAACCAGGTGTGCACAATCAACGACAGATTCCTATCGTGAGCTATGATACCGGTGAGGTTCGTTTTCATCATCGTATTATTAGCCATCTCCTTAGACAAACGTCGGCGCGATGCATGGGGAATGGTAGTCTTTGCCTGATCCATTCCATCTATAATGATGCACAAACTTTGGTCCTTATGCAGCTCGGACTCTGCCGACCATCGGTCATACTGCTTGCGATGGGCTTTTGCAGATCGAGGTGGCTCCTTTGCGCTGCAACCAGTTCCCGCCGTGGCCCCGGCAGTGCTCCTTCAATGAGGATAGCGTTTTTTATGCACACGTTGCACCTCGCGTGGTCAGTCGTTCGAGCCAGCCTAATGCGCCAAAAATAGTCTCTCCATATCTTATAGAACACCTGATACGACGCGCAAGACACACCCAGTTTGTCTAACCTGCGTTCGATGCTATTATAGACGTCTTCCTTACTACCATACACCGAAGGGAGACGAATACGGTTCCTAATCTCGAAATCGAGATCCGTCTCCGTGTGATCCGGCATAGGATCGGACTTGTCGAGGATAATATCCTCAAACGCAGACCATGTCAACGCATATTGCGTTGTTGTCCGAGGACGTCCCTCGTTAGCATGACCACCATCGACGACTCCTTCGTCGAGGTCATCATTATGTCTTTTGTATGTGTTTCGGCCACAACCGAGTATCAAACATCATGCGGTGACACAGACCGGATGCATCTCTACAATAGGTTTCACCTCCGGCTTCCTTTGGATCAGAGACGTGAAACTRCGAAGCTTGTCTATCCACCACTTGCGCTTGTCCTTGCCTCTAAACRATCTGAACTCGCGTCTGCACTTCTGGACCTCCACTGCTTTCATTCTAGAGAGACACCTGTAAGACTTGCAACATGTCTTCTTCACAACGACCTCGCACTCTTCGAGGCTGCATCTACGTTCATAGGTGGCATCCGACTCGTTCGATCCTCGTCTGCGCGTGTGGTATGTGTACCCCCTTTTGCCTTGTCTACCAAACAACGAACATCGGGGAGGAACAGATAGTCCCTCCGCTGCGGCATCATCGACTTCAAAATGGGGGGGGGATCGAACCCTCTCCCTTTTTTTTTTCGAACTTTTCAACAAAAATGAGATTGTGATTATGTGTAATGCCAAGAGGATTGGTCGCTGGCCTTAATGGGGGGGGATCGAACCCTCCCCGTTTTTTTTTTTCGAACTTTTCAACAAAACTGAGATTGTCATTATGTGTAATGCCACGTAGGATCAGGCGTTGGCCTTAATGGGGGGGGATCGAACCCTCCCCCTTTTTTTTTTCGAACTTTTTAACAAAACTTAGATTGTCGTTATGTGTAATGCCACGTAGGATCAGGCGCTGTCCTTAATGGGGGGGGATCGAACCCTCCCCCTTTTTTTTTTCGAACTTTTCAACAAAAATGAGATTGTCATTATGTGTAATGCCACGTAGGATCGGTCACTGTCATTATGTGTAATGCCACGTAGGATCGGTCCCTGGCCTTAAGGGGGGGGGATCGAACCATCCCCCTTTTTTTTTTCGAACTTTTCAACAAAAATGAGATCGTGATTATGTGTAATGCCACGTAGGATTGGTCGCTGGCCTTAATGGGGAGGGATAGAACCCCGCCCTTTTTTTTTTTCGAACTTTTTCAAAAAACTGAGATTGTCATTATGTGTAATGCCACGTAGGATCGGTCGTTGGCCTTAATGGGGGGGGGATCAAACCCATCCCCTTTTTTTTTTCAAACTTTTCAACAAAAATGAGATCGTGATTATGTGTAATGCCACGTAGGATCATGCGCTGGCCTTAGTGGAAGGGGATCGAACCCTCCCCCTTTTTTTTTCAAACTTTTCAACAAAAATGAGATCGTGATTATGTGTAATGCCACATAGGATCGGTCGCTGGCCTTAAGGTAGGGGGGATCGAACCCTCCCCCTTTTTTTTTTCGAACTCTTCAACAAAACTGAGATTGTCATTATGTGTAATGCCGCGTAGGATCAGGCGCTGAGCTTAATGGGGGGGGATCGAATCCTCCCCTTTTCTTGTTTTCGAGTTTTTCAACAAAAATGAGATTGTCATTATGTGTAATGCCACGAAGGATCGGTCGCTGGCCTTAATGGGGGGGGGATCGAACCCTCCCCCTTTTTTTTTCGAACTTTTCAACAAAAATGAGATCGTGATTATGTGTAATGCCACATAGGATCGGTCGCTGGCCTTAAGGGGGGGGGATCGAACCCTCCCCCTTTTTTTTTCGAACTTTTCAACAAAAATGAGATCGTGATTATGTGTAATGCCACATAGGATCGGTCGCTAGCCTTAAGGGGGGGGGATCGAACCCTCCCCCTTTTTTTCTCGAACTTTTCAACAAAAATGAGATCGTGATTATGTGTAATGCCACGTAGGATCAGGCGCTGGCCTTAGCGGAAGGGGATCGAACCCCTCCCCCTTTTTTTTTTCGAACTTTTCAACAAAAATGAGATCGTGATTATGTGTAATGCCACGTAGGATCAGGCGCTGGACTTAGCGGAAGGGGATCGAACCCTCCCCCTTTTTTTTTTTCGAACTCTTCAACAAAACTGAGATTGTCATTATGTGTAATGCCACGTAGGATCAGGCGCTGACCTTAATGGGGGGGGATCGAACCCTCCCTCTTTTTTTTTTTTTAACTTTTCAACAAAAATGAGATTGTCATTATGTGTAATGCCACGTAGGATCGGTCGCTGACCACATAGGATCCAACAAAAATGGGGGGGTGACCGGGGCAAACGCGTGGGGGGTCCTGCGTTTGCCAAACGCAGGACCCCCCCGCGCGATTGCACCGGGGAAAACGCACGGGGGGTCCTGCGTTTGCCAAACAGGGGACCCCCCCGCGCGTTTCCTCGGGGCAGTCGCGCGGGGGGTCCTGCGTTTGACAAACGCAGGACCCCCCACGTTCGCCCCGGGCGGTCGGCATCCGGGGGGTCCTGCGTTTGCCAAATGCAGGACCCCCAGCGGGTGCCCGAGGGAAACGCGGGGGGTCCTGCGTTTGCCAAACGTAGGACCCCCCGCGCGTTTGGCCCGAGCACCCGCCGGGGGGCATGCGTTTGGCAAATGCAGGACCCCCCCCTCGATTGCCCTGGCAGTTGGCTGGGGGGTCCTGCGTTTGCCAAATGCAGGACCCGTGTCGTGGAGTGCTCGGGGCAATCGCGGGAGGGGTCCTGCGTTTGGCAAACGCAAACGCAGGACCCCCCGCGATTGTCCCGGAAGGTCTGCATCCGGTGGGTCCTGCGTTTGCCAAACGCAGGACCCCCCCCGCGATTTCCCCGAGCACCCGCCGGGGCAATCGCGGGGGGGTCCTGCATTTGCCAGACGCAGGCCCCCCGGCGGGTGCTCGGGCCAAGCGTGAGGGGGGTCCTGCGTTTGACAAACGCAGGACCCCCCCGCGATAGAAACTTGCACCCGCCGGGGGTCCTGCGTTTGACAAACGCAGGACCCCCCTGCGATAGAAACTTGCACCCGCCGGGGGACTTGCGTTTGGCAAACGCAGGACCCACCACGTTTGGTAAACGCGCGACGCCCGTCCCCCTCGATTGTCCCCTACCGGCCCGGGGTTCTGCATTTCACAAACGCAGGACCCCCGGCTAGTGGCCGACACATCGGCGGGGGTCCTGCATTTGCTAAACGCAGGACCCCCCACCAATGTGTCGGCTGGTAGCAGGAGGTCCTGCGTTTGTCAAACACAGGATCCCTCGGCTATCAGCCGATTCATCGGTGGGGGGGCGCCCTGCGTTAGTCAGACGCAGGGCCCCCCCCCCGCCCCCCCCCGATGTGTCAGTCGGCAGCCGGGGGTCCTACGTTTGGCAAACGCAGGACCCCTGCGATCCCCAGGGTCGACACATGCGGTTGCTGCCCATAGTGTGAGGTAGAGATAAGTCTGCCGTCGGCATGTGGCGTGGAATTGCTTTTGTATTTTGGTTTTTTCCATCTCGTGATGTGGGAGATAGAGATAGGTGTCATTGATGCATCCCTCGTTCTTTTTCTTTTTGATATCTCCTCCAGCGAAAGGTCATAGGTGTCCTGAAGATGCGGATAAGAGGTACAACAACATGTCAAAACTGTACTGCGACAAGCTGTGGGCTCTCGACTGGGTCGGAGTGCCCGGCGAGCCCGGGTGCGGTGCTGCTGTATTCTTGACGGAGGACGAAGGGACGACCTGGTATTGTTGTGGTGGCATCATCAGGTCTGAAGTTGACAAGGCCATGGCGGAGAAGGGTAAGGTCGACGACCGAGATTTGAGGAAATTCTTCCTCACTTCGGTGTACGATGAGCAGGGTACGAACTGGGTCAAGACTGACCACAAGGTCAGTTTTGACATTGCTCTGTTCAAGGGGTATGGTCAGAAGGCATTCGGTATGAAAGCCTTCAGCAGCAAGCGGGACGGGAATGCTTCGAGGATGCTCTTACCCATTAAATTCCTCACCAAGACCAATGGGTATAGGAGAAGTGGTCACTACCCGACGGTCTCCGCTGGTTACCAGCTCTCGTTGCCTCTTGTGCCGTTCGACGCTCCAGGAAAAAGTCTCGCAGGCTTGTCAGCGTGCTCTAGCGATCGGCGGCAGGATGTCTCGACTCCGCAACCATCTGTGTCCGCGAAGGAGAAACTCATTACTTACCAGAGGCGTCCGAGCGGTGGGTCATCGGGAAACGTTCCGAAGAAGAAGGTGCTCGACAAACCACCTTCCAGTCTTCCGGGAAGCTCGTGTGCCAGTAGAAGCTCGGGCTCGAGGGACACCTCCCAACGTCGAATGGACGAGGAGTCAAGCGAGAAGACGGAGGACAATGAACGGATTCGCCGATTGCAATCCAAGTCACTAGCCACGTGAAGGTTCACCCAGGGCGAAGGCTCTTGCGATGTGAATGCAGAGCGGGAGGATAGTAGAGGTGACGAAGCCTGGGCGAGGGGCGATGGAGAAGACGATGAGAATGAAGGAGAAAATGGTGGTGGGCAGGACCACATGGATTGCGAAAAGGCAGCGGCAAGCGGCGGGGTGCTCGGTGGTAATGTGGGTGGTTCGGAGATGGAAGACGAGGAGATGGAAGATGAGGAAATGGAAGACGAGGAAATGAAAGACGAAGGACAGGATGTCGATGTTTCCGCGGAGCTTACTTCGAAGGGGAGGGGAAAATGCACAGCGGAATCGTCGCCGAAGCGAGCCGCGCCTAAGAAGCAGGCTCGAAGAAAAGCTGTGCAGGACGCTCGGCTCGCCTTGGATGCAGCTGCTGGTATGCCTGGTGAAGCCGGTGTGGAATCCAAATCCAAAGCTCGGGTTCGCAAAACGTCGCAACCCAGGAAGCCTGTGCGGCCGTCGAGGCACCCGAAATCGGATGACTCGAGCGACGATGCTGAAGGGGTGCCCCTCGTTTGCTCTCCATCCCTAACGACGACGAACCGGAGACGAAGAAACCCAAAGCGGTCAACACCTGTCTCTTATACACATCTAGATGTGTATAAGAGACAGCGCCTAGGGTGGTCATTGACGTCATGCAGATTCTTCCGATTCCGGTGGGAGAGATCACCTTCAACCAGCGAGCGCTGAACCCGGCCATCGTCGCAGGCATCGAAGTGGCAATCGAAGCATCAACTCGCCCACAGTCCGTGGATGATCCGGCTCCGTGGGATCCACCGGAGTTGGTGCTGGCTCCGATTAATCCATTAAAGGACGCGGACGAACAAGGAACCCGCGTCCTTCCAGAGGATTTCGACCCCGAACGGGCAGATGAGTTTTTCTATTACCCGGTTGCCGGTCAACATTCTTCCGAAGCTATGAAAAGAGCGGTGGCGAAGAACTCTGCAGCGATGGAGGTGTTCGGCTTTCGGAATTATGATCGTGTACGGATCATTTATTTTGACGATGACCATACGAACGGGTACCATTATGTTTCCACATGTGACAACACGCGAGGTGACCGTGCTATGTTGCCATCATTCCACCAAGCCTGCGTGGACATCAGAGGATTTTGGGACAGCAAGAAACGGATCGGGCCTGTGGGGAACGTGTCCAAAAGGGATCCCAAAGGCTTGGAGCACCAGAAAACATGGAGGGAATTTTTGAGGTCGTGCATGGGGAAGTCGTGTGAGAAAGCATTGTGGACCGAGTGTATCTCTGGGAAGTGGCAGCAGGCCTGGACGAACAGAATGAGGGGGTACATGAATGTCGCCATATCCAAGGACCCGGTATGGACACTGGCTAAGGAGTTTTTTTAGAAGTATGAGGCGGGGGAGTTGCCGCTGCACGACAACAAATGCCCAAAGGACTTGCCCGGAAAGCAGGAAGGCCGGGTGCCGGGCCAATACACTGAAGAGGTGTAGGGGAAGAAGGAGYTGTTCCATTGCATAGCGGCTAAGGACGAGGGACCAAACGCTACCGTGTCCTTCAAAGATCTCATTTCATCAAACTTTAAATGTTTTGGAGATATGACGAGGYGAGAGAAGGAAATTGCATTGTGGTTGATGATAGATAAAAAGGTCATCGCCACTACCCAACTGGTTTCTCCAGGGAAGTTGAACATGAGCAACCTCCTCGACATCATGCAGCAGGAAAGATACATGATGCGTCTGTTCAACTACATCGTCTTCAAATCGGAAAACAAAGAGGGGAAAGAATGGAAGGACGGGAACTTCATCGACTACGAAGGGTTGGAGAAAAGGTTCAGTGTGAAGGCAGCCGAATGGGATGAGGAGAGGGATAGAATCCCTTTGGAATATGTCAGGAGGGTTCCTAAGAGACTCGGCGGAGAGCAAGAGGAAAAAGGCCTGAAAGGAGCTGGTCTGAAGGCCACCGCGGCGTTGTATAGGGACGCACCTTTCCACTTCAAGTACTTCGTGTACCATGCGATTGGGAGAGTGGACTTGCTGACAGCAGAGTTGAGGCGGTTTAAGAACACTGCCCTTAATCTTAGCTGGGAGAAGAAACAGCGACGGTCGACATTGCTACCAGTCAACATGCAACCGAAGGAGTTGCTGCCTGCAGGCGATAAAATTGTGATTGCGGCCACAAACTTGAATTGCAAGGCGGCCATCCTCGATCTCGCCAACCCGAAGAACTGCCTTGTATGGACGCCAGCCGATTTCGATGCTCTGCGCAAAATGATGACGAAATTGTGCGGTAATAATTGGATTCTGATTGTATTTGCTCCGCAAAAACAGCACAAGACCGTCATGAAGCAACTTTACAACTGGGACGATGCAGAGGTGCTACTCGGGACTTGGAAGCGTTATTTAGCGTTCGGAACGGCTGTCAACAAGTATGGAAACTGGCAAGTCGATTATAAGGACACGATGGCAGTCGTCCTGCATGCTGAGGGAGGCGACCTCAGGAAGGTAACGAGGGCTCCTAAATCGGAGGCAGAGATAGTGGAGCTGAACGTTGATGAGGAGCAATTCAAGAGATGCACAACAAAGCACGGTGGCGAGGAAGGAAACGAATGAGAGGTGTATGGGCAGTGGGAATGACATCCTAAACGGTTGCAGAAGTTGTGCAGTTCGTTTCTGCACGAGGACCAGGGGGTGATTCTTATTGGAAAGTCGCATGCCAGACTTGTGTGGGAGCTCTTGCGCGCTGGCCATCATGTTTTCGCATGCGACTCGTCGTCAAAAGACATTTCATACTTGACGAAGGTCATCGAAATTCTCGGGAAGGATGCGAGA